GCGTGGGGATGCCAAGAGGGGGAATGGGTTTACGCGGCGTGCAAAAATTTGAAAAACAGTCGCGCGTGCAAAAATCAAAATTCCCCCCCGCCCCATACTAACTCCTAACTGTTTCTTGAATTTCTCGGCACGGTTGCTAACCCACCAAGCGAGAAAGTCATGAGGGGCAGTTCTGAAAAAGAAAAATAAGCTTCTGTTCCGTCCCTCTTTTCCTTTCAAGAAGGAAAAAGAAAAGAAAAATAAAACCCCGTTCTTCCCAATCACCTAGAACCCGCACTTCGAGAGGCTTACATGGGATTTTCCCTCAAGGGTACGGGAAGCCGCTGAGTATGGATCCTGGCTTATCACAGGCTGGGCGACAAAGGGCCCAGCCCTCTATCAGATCTGTTATGATGGAGCATTCAGCGAGCTGTCGCTCCTAATGTTAGTATTGTAACCTGTTGACTGCAACAAGAGAGAGAGAGAGAGAGAGAGAGAGAGAGAGAGAGAGAGAGAGAGAGAGAGAGAGAGAGAGAGAGAGAGAGNAGAGAGAGAGAGAGAGAGAGAGAGAGAGAGAGAGAGAGAGAGAGAGAGAGAGAGAGAGAGAGAGAGAGAGAGGGCCGGTGTAGGTAAACTGAAAATTAATTGGGCCCCTTTGGAAGTTGGCACGTATAAGGGTATGTTGAAAAGTTGAACTGGTACACAGTAGGGTTATATTGCAAAGATGGTCCGTCCAACTGGGCGAAGGACATTTTCAATTTTTTTTTAATTGTCAGAAGGGTATTCCTCTCTTCGGACATCTTTAGGGGACATATTCAACTCTAAGGGGTATAACACAAATTTCCCCTGCCTTGCGCAGGGGCCATGGTAATCTTCTCTGCATCTGTTGGCTTTCAGTGTTTTTTTGTTTTTTTTTTTTTTTTTTTTTTTTTTTCACTGACGTAACAATTTCATTCCAATGAGACCACCGGGGCCCGGGAACACACCCCTACATATCAACCTGGTACAGTCCTGCTGAGGCCACTACTCAGCTTAGGCTCCTGGAAACCGGGTCCAGTGTCCCTTCAAGGAATCTCCAAAAATAAAAAATTGTAAAGCAATCCTGTGACAATGTAGTATCCTTCCTGCACTAGAATACACCGGCATGTTTTTGGGAGCGAAACACTATTAGCAAAGGCTACGAGCTATAGACTGCAAGTCTCAAAACTGCGCAAGGCAATTCGTGAAAATTTTCCCAATTTAACCCCAAAGTTATTTCCGAAGGCGAGCTCAATTCTTAGAAACAATTCATTATAAAATTCAACCCAAGTACGTACTAAATTTAAAACCAGAGGTATTAATATTGTCTACAGAAAGTGCAAATCTACAAATTCTCAAACTAAAGGAGCACTCTCAACGACTAAGAGCTAGGAAGAAAATCAAACATTAGGGTTATCCTCTCGTCCTTACTATCCAAAACGCTGCGAAGAGCCTTTGTTGCCTAGACGAGTTTCCCACCACGCACCCAGTGGATACAACTCTAGTTTGCTCTTTACCGGGACTCCCGTATCATCCCAATCCCTGAGAACCACCCTAATCACTGCAACCATACCCCAAGCTCCGAGGACATCAAGAATCTGTGAGTGGTCATAACCTCTGAAGAAATCCAACATCAAACACAACTCCCAAGTCCTATCCTCGGCGTTTAAAACGTGAGCAACACTGTCACTCCAAGCAAGGTTATGGATGACAATTGTCTCACCCTTCACACCCGGGGAACGTTCCCACCACCACAAATGAGTCTCCCACTCCCACAGATGGCGCCGCCCCCGGTAGAACTTCCGGGCTTTTTCGACAATCAATCTTCCTAGCAATTACAAATTATCAAAGTAAAGGAGCACAAATGCAAAGCTGAAACCGTTCCAAATATCTACTACGTAAACAACTCTAAGGGGACAATCTCAATGGCAAAACCCTGGGAAGGACGAATAAGCCTTAGGGTTACCTTCTCMTCATCGCTGACCAACATACTATGAAGAGCCTTTGTTGCCTAGACGGGTTTCCCACCATGCACCCAATGGATACAACTCTAGTTTGCTCTTCACCGGGTCTCTCATAACTTCCCAACCCCGTAGGTTTCACCCTAAAACTACTACAAACCTTCCCCACTACTTAAAAACATCAAGAAACTGTCAACAAATCTACATAAAATTGAAAGTATCAGTTCAAAATAATCTACATGCGCAAACCAAACACCAAAAACCTACCGCTCCCCTTTTCCAAAGGACCGAGGAGATACTAAGTACGGATATTACACGCACTTAGCCTGAAACATGAGATCCATTCATACTCGGGAATTCCGATGTACCCACCGCCAAGGCACCAATGAAGTCGACCAACCACTCGTCAGTCATTTGCCTTAAACGATTGGCGGGGAAGCCAATTTGTGAAGACTACCTTCCAAATACTAGCACACAGATTGTGTAAACAAGGGAATTTCAGGATACGGCCACAGTATAAATCAAACAGATTAGAATAGCAGAAGAGAGAGAAAAGGAAATTCCCCACCATTCACTCATTTAGAGGGCAGAAAACCGTCTGGAGGCGCACAGGTCCTCTAGCGCTAAGTAAAACTTCCGATCTAAATTATATCTCCCCTTCTACATGCTTCACTTCCACTCTTCTCCATCCGCTACTCCAGATCACATGTGGTTTGGTAGTCATCATATGATAAAGGGTCGCGACAGCAAAACGAGACCAAAGGAACAAAAACAGAATAGAAAGGAGCTAAAAAGAAGAGAAAACCTCTTTGCGTTCTAGCTATTCAACCAAAGTCGTCCACTTCAGAAAGAGCAAACAACGAACACAATAAACGAGAGCATATACTTCTGGAGTGGAGTAGATGAACAACAGACTGCCTTGCGGCAACGAATGGTCAACCAAGACTTGCTGAAGCCCTAAAACATGCCGGAGAGCTGCCACCGCAACCGCACGCTCTCCCACTGCGTCCAGGTGCGCCCCTCCGACTCCCATACTTACCCAGTAATCCGAGCAGTCGCGATGACTTGTCATGACGGACAACGCGCGGCCATTATGTGGTGAAAGGGAGCCCCCCCTTACGAGCAGAAGGCTTAAGGGGAGGACGGTTCCTCTGGTATCTGGATGTTATTAGGTCTAAAGGTTGGTATAGACTTCAACTGTAAAATATGGGACTGCCAGGGTGCCATGGCGATGAGTGCAGCGCACTCCCTCCCCACTCAAGGGCAAGGTTCCGCCAGGGCACTGTCGCCATAGCTCTCACACAGCTATGGTGCCAGGCAGGGTAGGCGCCACGTGAAAAATCAGCGTCACAACCTACGCAGCCGCCTCCGACGACCGGGCGCCGCCACCGCCGCTATCGCCGCTGCGTTAGCGCACATTTCGCGCGGCCTCCTCGTGTATATTTCAATGTTTATGGGGCTTTCAGTGTTTTCGCTGTTCTTTTTTTTTCTTTTCTTTTTTTGGTGTTTTCGTTTTCTCGGTGAAACTGAAAACTGAAAACTGAAAACTTGGACCATTTGTCCTTCGGGACATCCGTTAAAATTGGAACGATACAGAGAAGATTAGCATGGCCCCTGCGCAAGGATGACACGCATAAATCGAGACAAAACTTGGACCATTTCTCGATTTATGCGTGCCCATCCTTGCGCAGGGGCCATGCTAATCTTCTCTGTATCGTTCCTATTCTAACTGAAAACTGAAAACTGAAAGCTGAAAAACTGCTTCTCGAGATGAGTGAAGGACTACCCAGCCCATGGGCCCTGCGCAGCACTCTCCAAACGCCAACATGTTGAATGTACCCGGTCCTTTTATCGTCCCGAGACGTTCAAAATCTTGACGTTCGGCAAGGGGTGGGTGCGGTTGAGGCCACATGTGGCTGAACGATACACCCCTGCAACTGCCTTTTTTTTTTTTTTTTTTTTTTTTTTCATCAAAAAAAAACAGAACTGACGCTCTACGGCTGCTCTCAATGGCCCCCAGTGCCCAAGGCAACGATTACAACCAAATAGGATGGGACAGAAGACAGGCTATCTTGCTCCCACTGCAACTGTTGGCAAGCAGAACTGAGGTATTTAAAAATTAATGTATACATGCACATCAACCTCCTCAAGTACATTTACATTTATATATCTTTGCTGCCGGTCAGTCTGAATCTGGCGGCAATTGCTGAAACATGCATTCTAGAAACTCTGTGTGCGTCTCCACGTTAGTTATACCGCAGATGCTGAGATCTGGTAGATGACGCTGCCTACGTAGGCAAGATTTTGGACTCTGCATGTTCTATCTACTAAGTACGAGAGCTAGAGAGATTGGGGCTTGTGCATCTCGTGCCCCTAATCTCTCTCTCTCACACACACACACACACACACACACACACACACACACACACAACTTTCTTTGGCGCGCTTATAGGTGGTCCGCCTAGAGCGGGTGGTTTCGTCTCTCGTCGCAACTCGCGCCGTCTTCTTAAGGTACCGCGGTCCGGCGCTCCGTCACACGATCCCGGTTCCGATCCCGTTCCCAGTCCCGATCTTGCGCCAGTCCCTGCGTTGCTTCTGTGATCCCGTGGTCCCATGGTCCAATGGTCCCATGGTGCCCATGACTCGACGTAGTGATGTGACGTAGTGATGATGAAGTAGACCATGGCGCCGGTCCCGATCTTGCCTCAGTCCTTGCGTTTGCTACTGTGGTACCGTGGTGCCCAATGCCAAGTCTTTTTTTTTTTTTCTTCTTCTTCTTCTTCTCGTTTTTGTGAAACACAATGCCAAGTCTCGCTTATGCTGGTTCTTCATTTCTGGCCGTTGACGATTTTAATCTACGGCCAGAAACGGAGAATTCGGGTAGGTGGGACTTGGGCCCGGTAGCGCGGCCAGGAGAAGGCAAATATGAGGCGAGGTTGTCTGTATATGATGCTCGTCATTTGATGTTGTTGTTGCTAGAGGTAAATCAAATATGAAATACGTATATATCGAGATATGTATTAATTATTATGTAATTTAAACCTACATAATTTTTTTTTTTTATAATCCTATAAGAAATAGAAGATAGCATATCCATATAATATAATATAATATACTAAAATGACGATGACGGCTATGGCCGTCATGGCGGCCGGGTTGGGACCCCGATGTCTAGCTTTTGTGGGAGGCAGCGGCCAGTTGGCCACGTGTCATAGCCAGGACCAGCGTCCCTATCATGATTCTTCTGTTCTTATTCGCGGACGTCAACGAATAACCTCGGGGATATCGACATCCTCGCCTGACGTTTGCAGCGACTGTCATCGCAGCATTGCCACGTGGACACGTAGTCCACATTCTCAGTACTCCACGTGGCGGTATCCCGATGGGCGGCGACGCGGGCGGGTCGGGGGAGGGAGAGTTAGGGGCGGAGCAGTACGTTCGGTGGGAGCTTCGGAGATCCGTCTGCTTCGGCTTCGTCGCCGCGATGAACGGGAAGGTGGCGGCGGTGGAGGCGCAGGAGGAGGAGGAGGAGGAGGAGGAGGGAGGGAAGGAAGGGCAGGGGGAGGGAGAGAGAGAGAGAGCCGCGGCTTGGGAGCGACCCCGACCCCGACCCGTTGTATGCGGAGGAGTGGCGGAGGAGCCATCGCATTGGGAGCATTGCTAAGACCAGATGGTCCCGCAATGATGACGAAGGGTCCCGACAGCTGTCACGTGGCCACGGTGACGACATCTGGCTGGACGGGATCCCGTCGGCGCATGCGCCACGTGCCCTCCCTCGCTTCTGCCGTCGGCTCCGCCCAGGGTCGCTACTCCGTCGCCTCAGCTTCCGCTCGCCTGCACGGGATCTCATCGAGCGATGAGAGGTCGGGACCATCTTCATACAATGCGACCATGGTGCGTCCGCCGCGCACAGAAGAAGCCGATTGTCGGGATCTCATTGTCGGGCATCTTCTTGCCACGTGGCAGGCGGTGGCGGCGGCGGCGGAGGCATTCGTCGATACCCTTCAGACATCATCTCGCATCCAAATGACCTCAACAGCGCATCCTTCCCGCTCTGGTTCTCCATCTCCTCCCCCTCCTCCTCCTCCTCCTCCATCTCTTCCTTCGTCTTCTCCTTCTTCTTCTTCTTCTTCTTTTATTCGCAGTGCTTCGTCGCTCTTTCTTCTTCGTTGTGCTTCTCTCTCCTCCTCTTCTTCTTCTTCTTCTGCTGCTGCTGCTGGCGGTGCGGGTGGTGCATCTGGTGGTAATGCGATACCAGGTGGCGTCGGGATCTTGACTAAACTGGTGCCATCGTTCATCTTGTCGGCGTTTGCAGCATATCCTGCCACGTGGACGTCGTCGCTCGTCGTCTGTGCAACCATCTTCTTGTTGGGATCGCCCGTTCTTCTATCTGGCCTGTCGGTATCGGGACTCGTCACCGCGTTCCAGCTCGGGACGGTCGTCTGGCGCGCTTTCGGAGCGGATGGTTTCCTTATCGTGGCCATGTACTTCGTCGTTGTAAGTATATATATATATATCTGTTTGTGACGATATATGTATATATGTATGTTTGACGATATACATTATATATATGCATATATGTATGTTTGACGATATATATTATATATGTATATATGTATGTTTGACGATATATATTATATATGTATGCGATATATATGAAATATATATATATTTTATATATCCCTTTCTTCTTGAATTGTTCGAATTTCTCTCTTTCTTTCTCGCGTACATGTTTTATTTGAATTGCCAATTAAAAAAAAAAGGGCAAACGCAAAATACGAGAAACTGGGGATTGAAAACAAAAAGGAAAGAAAAAAAAGAAAAGGAGAAAGTGGGGATTGATAAGAGATTGGTTGTTGTCAAGTGAAGGGCCGCGCGAAGGGCGAGCGGGTAGGGAACAAGAGAGTTGGGGGGCGGGGGCGAGGGGAGGGGGGGGAATATCTCGAGGGGATATGAATGAGTCAAAGATTAGAATGGTATCGTTTTTTTGCCAAAAAAAAAAAAAGAAAAAAAAAGACGGTATCCCTTTGTCTTACCCGCGTCGTTGAATTGTCATAGCACTGTGAAACCGGATAAATATGTATTGCAAAAAATGCAATAAGAAATGCATTTAAAATCCAATAAAAAATGAAAAAAAATGCATGAAAACGCAAGAAATGAAAAAAAATGCAAAAAAACTCGTAAAAATGCAAGAATTACGAAAAAATTGCGAAAGGCAGAAATGCAAGAAAGGAGAAATTCGCAAAAAAAAAAACCGAAATAAATGCGAAGAGCCAAAAAAAAAACGAAATCAGTGCGGAAATTGCAAAACATGTGAACATGCATAAATGGTGTTATTGAATGCAATAAATTTAATATAAAATGCAGAAAAAAAACACGGATAAAAGGAATGGATCACGACAGGGACAGAAAAAAAAGGGGGGCGGGGAGAATGGGGAACGCATTTTTTCTGCCCCGAAAATGCCACGATTACTCGTTACAATCCTGAGGGCAGACCTCCACCCTCAACCCCAACCTCATTACGACTAGAT